TGAGCCCTGACTTGGTATACGGGGGCCTGCTGCTCTAAGAGTGCGCCCCACCATGCCGCGCTGGGAGATGCACGAAGCGCAGCAGGGCCAAGTCCAATAACCAACAGCAGTGTCGATGCAAGGCGCGTAAACGCTGAAGGCCCCCATGTAAGCGGCGTCATCAAAGGCGCGCTTTGTACCACTCAGGCCCCAGACGCGATCAACCAAAAAACAACGCCCCAAAAGAAACCATCCTGGACCGTCACTCCTGCACCCCATGGCCCCCGTAGTCCTGGCAGACAACTCACGTGGTGGCCGCGCCTTGCAATTATCGCACTGCTAGCGCTAAAGGGACTGCCCCCATACTGCCACATCTCCACATGTTCCAAGGAACTGTCGGCCCAAATCGCAGCATCATCCAGAAAAGCAATGGTGGTGCATATCCCCGGCGGACTTTCCACTGATACCATGCAGAACTGCAAGCACGTTTGACCCACGGCAACCACTCCGCTTCTTCAGCTTGAGTGGAGAAATGAAGTAGATTCTGGAGTGGACGATGGTAAGACATCTCTGGGCGAAATTGACTTCCCACGATCGCAACCACTAGCCGCGTAACCAGTAGCAGCTGCAAAGGAGAAATGCAGAAGCGGCCCTCCTCCAAGCACTCTGGCACCCACGTCCCAAAGTCCTGCCGCGGCTTCCAGCTGGTGTGAACTCAAGCATTCTTGAAAGTCTGGAACAGGATCGCGATCTTCTCGCCCTTGGTCCTCGGCAACTTCGTGACCCCCTGGCGCTTGAGACACTTCTCCGCTGCTTTCGGGATGTTCATGTACTTCCACGCCTCCTTCAGCGTGTCCTTGAAGTCCGACGCCAACCCGATGGGCAACTCAAACATGCGATTGAACTCTGCTTCCGCCAGCTTCACCTGCAACGAGGAGAGGTCCTGACTCTTCTTCGCCGAGGGCGGCTCCGAGCCAACAAGTGATACGCATGACGACGGAGGTGCGGGCGCGCCCAACCGATCGGGCAGGCCGGGCCCCGCGGCTGTCGGCCGCGGCGGAAGCGACGCCACTGCCGCCTGCAATGGAGCCACCACCTCCTGCTGCAACGACTGGTTAAACGACGCCTCCACGGCATTCGCACGGATCTCTCCTTGGCGCCGAAGAGCTTCTTCCTTCTCCTTCTCCGACATCTCCTCGAGAAACTGGCGGTGCTCATCATTATGCTTGGCAAGCTTGCGCGCGCGGCCCATGCGCGTCTGGCGGCCACCATCCGAAGACGAACTGGATGTGCCACGGCGGCGGCGGCGACGGACGTCTCTGTCCCGATCGCGGTCGAGATCCCGATCGCGATGCTGCTGACCGCGAGCCTGCCACTATGGGCGGGATCCCCGCCAGGGCTCCCGCCGTCCACCCTGGCTCTGACCCTGCTTGCTGCCCTTGCCGCCACCGCCCATCTCGCCCCTCAGGCGAGCTTGGCGCGACCGGCGCTGGGGCCACGACCTCAGAGAGGCTCCAGCCTAGCGGACCGCGGCCGAGTTGGGCAAGGAGTGGGCGAAGGCACGGAGCATCCACGGTGGAGAACCCTGTAGGTGCAACTCCAGAAGGAACTCGAAGAGCCCCAACCTTGCAGCTAGACATGGCAACCCAAGACACCGATGCCCTGCCACTTTTCCCAGTAAGATGCCCCTCATAATTCCGAATGACATTTGGGGGGGGCACCTGGCCATGGGAGTGCGTGAGATTTGGCACTCAGCACGTGGTTGGGGAAATCCACAATTCCTGCGTAAAACCATCCTCGGCAAGGGTTCTTGCGCGCGAAATTGAATGCAAAACCCTGAACCCCGAGACGCAGATCAAGCCAATCGAAGACGCCGTCCGGATCATCCCCGGAGTTAAACACAACACCCAGAGGCTCCCGGGAAACTTGTTCAGGATACACTTGCAAACAGTCGCAGCAATGGGTAGCGCTACCAGACAAAATATCATCAACATACATGCTCCAATGTATATCTTCCCTGGGGTCCTCTGGAACTGAAAACAAAGTCCCTCGGGGCGCTGACGTGCGCGCCTATCAGCTAGTTCTGCTGCCCCAAGCCGAACCGTTGAAGCAGTCGACGTCATGGCGCCACAGATCGCCATCCCAGCCATAACCGCGCCCCCAGGCACGGCTAAGGTTAGCCGAGAAGCAGCCGAAATATTTACGGAGATGCGCCTAGGATAGAGATCACCTACCTCGCCCGCATCGCCTCGCTCGGTCCACGTGTTCCGCTAAGAATCCCCACCCGACGACTGAGGGGCCTCGAGGCCCCGAACTTCGACGCATCGGTCTGCTTGAAGAGGCCCCGCCCTGGCACAGTGGACGACGACGCACGCGCCCCAAAGAGCTTGGCCCGCACCCGCGGTGACAACATGTAAGCCTGGACGCGTGCTTTTTTTTTGTCCCTGCTGCACTGAGACGGGAGCGATCCAATTCGCAAGCCGGATATAGTTTCTTCCAAGTGCTGGCGCGCGCAGCCGACGTCAAAGAGCTTCCGCGACTGGGCAGCGGCGCCCACCGCCAATCGAACAACTCGAGCGCCCACCTTCCATCCT